TGAGCCTGGTTCTGCTGGAGTCGTCTTCCTCTTTAAGGACAGTTTTGAGAATCTGCTATATCTTGACATGATTGTGTTGCACAGTTCTTAGATGCACATTCATGCTGTTGTTACTCAAGCAATGATATTAAAACCTTAACTGGTATTTGGCAAATTAAGGTCAACCCCTGCAGCAGCATGAACTCATGCTGTGTGTCATCTGCAGCCTCAGTAGCAATCTGACCAGGTTGTGTTCAGTTTCCACTGCAGTGTCAGATTTCCGTGGCTTGCAAGAGAGAATCCATTGTTGGCTTCTTAGGTTGCATCCCATGAGCCTCAACATTAGGTGTGTTGTGAGTCTGACTGCTTTTATGCTTGGCACTACTGTATAGAATTAATATAGCCATTCTGTCAACTTCACCCAATTTGGTAATTCTCCTCTGACCTCTTCAATTAGCACTGGATCTTTTAGATCAGTAGTTTAGTTTCTTAAATCAGAATAACTCGTACTGCTACTAGCTAGCATGACGGAGTTTATACAGCTGGGTGGATGCTATGATGTTACTGATAGTGAACTTTATTTTCTTCATAAGGTTAGTTAGTAGAGTTGCCAAATGCCCCGTTAAAAAAAAGAATCGTCCCGCATTCAGAGAAAATATTACGCGTTTCGTATTGAGCTGAAAAGGAGCACAGTTTGTCCCGTACTTCAGCTACAATGAAAAAATAAACACACAAAGCTGGATTTATTCTGTCGTTACGCTGTACAGCTGCCTCTTCTTCTCTCATCCGCTCCCCTCCCTCTCCTGTTGCTACTTCAATCATGAAACTGATCAATGATCAGCTGATCGTCTCTCTTGTTTGTTTTTTTTATTGCCCACTTTGCGCCAGAAAGAGGAAACTGCCGGATGTCGCGTTAAACAACAGCAGCATGTTTAAGCTTGATCAGCTGTTAGAATTTATTTAATATTAATTTCTACTATCAGCTGATGTTTGCTGGAGCCACAGCTGTAGAAGCTGCTGGTCATGGTGTCGGTTTGGATATGTGGTGAGAGGGAAACATGAAGATGAAACCAGGAGATGTCCTTACTGAATCATCAGAGCCGAACAGGTGATGGAGAAACAGGTTTACCTTTTAGGTGACATGAATGAGCTGAAGGGAAGTTATAAGGGAAGGAAGAAATACACAGATACATCTGTAGATTTGAGACAGAATTCACAATGTGTTTTTGGGACTTTCAGGTGTTTGGACCAATGTTTTATTTTCTGATCAAACCAGAAAGCTTTAATGAGCAGCTAGACTTGTCTCACATTAACTGGCTGAGTTAATGCCAGTTAATGCAACGTCGAAGCAGCTGGAATCCATATATGTGCGTGTTCATGGAGCTGCATTTTCACCTGCTGGACATCACTACCTGACAAGTTTAACTGTCTTCAAAACATTACAGAGGCCTTATTGACAGTATTTGGTTCTACATATCTGTGTGAGCAGATTTCCTCTCACATGAAGAGAGTCCTCAGGTAGCCGTCTGAATGCTGGGTGCTCGGAGCCCTGTGTCTCTGAGTGGAGACCAGCGATCAGAGTGTATTAACAAACATGCCATATTGGCTCAGTTTATTTTTCTTATCATTGTTGCAAGGAGACCATAAATAGCATTTGTATTTTCTGTTGTACAGTTCATTTGCTGTTATGGATGAAAAGTGTCTTTTTATTTTTTGTTTCAAAATAGCTGAAAGCTGCGAACTATAAAGTGTTCTATATAGTGTGTAACTGTTAGTATAGAGCGTTATTCAATTTCTTGCTAATACAATCATATGGCACACTGACTTCTGAGGACATTTTAGATGCACTCATCATCAGAAAGGTTGCCTACCCCTGCTCTAAGGCATCTGGACAGATCTGTTTACTTACACTTATTGACAGGAGTTGAATGGTGCAGACTTTGGGTTGGTTGGCTGATTTGTCAACACAGATCTGAATTTGTATGTTTGCAGTGGATTAGTTTTTTTGTTTTGGTTTTTTGCAGTAAAATGACATGAAATTTGTACTTTAGAAGAGTCTTTACAACATGAGCATCTGTCATTACACTCAACTATTGTTTGACTAATAAATGATGCATGTTAACTGAGTTCTCATGTGTCTCCCAGTGCACCCAGAGAGAAGTCCATTAAGACAATTCAGCATGAGATCCGCTCAGTTATCAGACAGATAACAGCCACTGTTACTTTCTTGCCCCTGCTGGAGACGCCATGTGAGTAATGAGACTTTTGACATTTGAGCCTTTGATGTGGTGGTTGGGTAATAATTTCAACTCCTCCCCCTCCCCTCAGGTGCTTTTGACCTCTTGGTTATACAGACAAGGACCTGGTGGTTCCAGATAAATGGGAAGAATCAGGGCCGCAGACCATTGACCAGCCAGAGGAGGTGCGTTTGCATTCCTTCACCACTTCAATCCACAAGGTGAACAGCATGGTGGCGTACAAGAAGACTGAGTCAGCTTAAACTTCTAAACCACATGAGCTGTTACAGCACTGACCACTGATCTAACACTGCCGTGTCTTTGTTCACTGCCTGTGCGTGACTGGACAACGAGGACCTGTTTTCCTTTGTTGAGCTTCACTGTGTCTTATTGGTCAATATGATAAGGACATGAAGGAAATGTGTTCTTTCTACATTGATGTAAATATTTCTGCCACGTGGCATTTGTCTGTAGAAAACAACTGTCTTTTCTTTAGTCTTTTGCTTTCTTTCATTCTTTCAGTCTGTTTTAGAAAATAGTGGTATATATGTTGAACTTTTATAAAATGACATAAATAAATGCATTTTGCTTTTTCCCAAAGAAGTGATTCTGTGGTTTTCTTTTGTTCAGGAGGTGCCAAGGTTTTTCATCGGGTTATTTATTTTGGAGCATTATATAAAAGATATCACATGGTTTTTGGAGCCTTGAGACGATGCCGTCTTGGGGTGCATTTCAATAGTATAAGCTGACCTTTTCATCAAGGTCAAGAAAGAGAAGTTAGTTTGGAATGCACTCTTTTTGTAATGTTTTAATAACTGGAAAGCACACTGACATCCATTCATTCATTGCTTGTTTAGTACATTTGAGAAATTATAGACAGCACACAGGAGACATAGTAAATAAGTATTATTTAATGGGACATACTATTCACTTCGCTCACAGTGTTGAAAGGTGTCGACAGTTGCAGATGTGTAACACCATCATAGTACCGTATCAGCATATTACATTTTGCAAAAGAAAACCCACAATTCTCTTACCTAAAAAATCCATCCATCTGTCGTGTAATGCCCTCTCATATACATGCAAAAGAAAAAACTGACAACCAAGCAGTGAGGGGTTTTTTTTTTTCTCCAGAGAGCACAGAGGCTAAGCTACAGGCACAAGTAAAATAGTCCTGGAGACTTATTCAATGTACAAATGACAACCACGGACACAAATTAACTTTCTGAGCATGTACATCTACAAAAGTGCTTGAGTTTAAATGAGTCTGTCATGTCCATTAGTAAGCTGTTCATTAAATGCACCTATGTGGCTTCCAGACCTCTGTGACTCCTCATCAACAGTTTATTGGCTGGACAATTAACTGTTTTACCAGTTCTGCTGATTCAGCAGTTTCATTTACCAAAACATTTCAGAACTTTTTCTTTTCTGCATAAAAAAAAAAGAAGTTCTGAAGGGTAACAGTAGCATCCTTCAAAACTAGATATTAACAAACATTCTAGGTGTAGAGAAAAATGTCATAGTAATGTTGCATTTTCTATTTATTCCTAGTGTGGACATGCTGAAATCACTTTTATTGAGGAGTAATTGTTCCTTCTTGCAGGATCAGCAAAAACCTGCATTTCACAAGGATTGTTCTTTTAAATGTGTTGGTGATGACACCTCGCCTCTGACTACAGACTGAAAACCTCTGCCTCTAAAGGGTGGACAGCAGTGAACCCAAACACATCAAAACGCTGAAACACTTAATATCTTTATCTAATGAAAAAGTTGCTCCTGGATACATTCTGGGTTACACACTGAAATTTTCTGCCAAATTCTGTTGTTTAGTCAGTCTTTGTAGTGCAACAGAAACTGCTCTAAATGTTAAAGAATCCTTTTTGCCCCCTTGTAGCAAATATCTTGTTTGAACAGATTTTTACATTTACCCATCAGAGAATCAGGTTTACAGAAATAGAAATTATACACCATCACAATGTATCAGAGATAGATGCCACCCCTGGTGAGTAAATCATACTTTATATTCTGTAGATATTACTCCGTCGTTCAGTTTGTAAAATTGGTATGCATAAACAGCATTACTGGACATGGATAAATAAAAATAAGTGGTTCTGTAAAACTGAATTGTCTACTTTATCGCAACAAGGCAGTGGCAACATCTAGATCCATTTTCCTTTGAAATCACAGATCTAATCTTTGGCTCTTCCTACAGCTGGAAAAATAGAAAATCTAAATTCCAAATAACACAATACAGTACATTTCCAAATGTCATCAGAAGAAGCAGTTGTTCCTAAGAAAGGGCCTAAAAAAAAAGACGGGATTTTTTTCCACATATGAAAACATTTTCTAGATAATTGTGTGCTTTGACAAAAGAATGACCTTACAATATAGACTCTAATAAATATATAAAACAAAAATAAATATGCAATAGTTAAGACAGTGAATAAAATGTACGAAAGACTCAAACCCACGTCGTGTGTGTGTGTGTGCCGTGAAGACATATAACAAGTCTATAAGATTATTGTGACACTAGTATACTACTAAGTATATAGTAGTTGCATTGTTTTCATCCCACTAGAATGGTGCTAATGGTGCTAAAGCTCCATGAACACTGGAAGCGACATACTGAATACAGACCATTCCAAGTGAATCACATCCCACAACTTCAAGTGATTACAGATGAAATAACCACAGGCGAATTCTTTGAATGTTCAGGCAGAGTAGAAAAGTGCTAAATAAGAATCAGTCCGTTTACCATTTCCTATTTGCTAAGGGAAGTTTTTTTTTTTTAACCGAAGCAACTACCAATAGGAATAAAGAATACATATGAACTGGAAGTAAATATGTAGAGCTTCCAGTGTATGCAGCTTAACCATTCAGTGTTCCCTAAAGTTCACTACCTGTCACAGATAGTGTAGGTGAGACCATCAATATGAAAGCCACTCTATGCAAAAATAACAATGTCTATGGTAATAAATATAGCTTAGTGCTGACTTTGTTATTATCTCTGGTGAGTGAGGAAAAAATGGTGGTGACAGGATAAAATGACCATGATTTCTTGTTATGGACACATTTCATTCCTTTCTGTTCATGGTAGGGCTTAGCTGTAAAACTAGCATACAACTTTTTAACGAATGTTTGATAGTGGGGGTGGAAAGGTACAACTTTGATGTTATTTCATAGTTTATCTATTTTTATCTGTTGTGAAAAGTACTCACAAGAATTACTGATACTCCGGGAGACAGGAAAAGTGCTGACAAGTCTATGCAGATTACCAACAAGTCAACTCACTGACTTGTAGATGTTTTTACAGTTGTTTTTCTATCTTACTTTATTTTTTAACTTGTACTCATTGGCATGGCTATGCATGATCGTTTGTAATTTTCCTATATCTGAGCAAACGCTTTGCCGGGTGAGTAAACTCCAGATTACAACAAGGAAAAGAAAGACAAGCTGTGAAACCTGACTGCGGCACCTCAACCGTAATAGATTAAGTCTTAAAGTATTAAGACTGCTCAAGGCAAGTGACCTCTTCTATTATCAGACCATAGCTAGTGTTTTATTTCATGATAGGAAAATTACTTTTCTACCTCACTGTCAGTCCACACAATACGCTATTAGATAATTTTAATGAGAATAGGTTGAAAATGTAGAACTCTGGAAATCTGAGTTGGATGAAAACCAAACTGCTGTTTGGATCACACCAAGCCGTTGACAAGCCCCTTCTCACACTCCTCGGCTAAACACTTCCACTGCTGCCGGTTTTTCTGACATCCTTCCAACAACGGGGAGCAATACTCCGATAAGCCAGCCAAGGTCTGTGACAGTGATAAAGACAATTCAGCATGGGAAATCAGAGGCAGAACTGAATGCAGGAAGAATTGCTATTCATCAGCTACGCTGGTCAGCAAAAATAGCAAGGGCTGAATTACCTCATACAACTGAATGCAAATGGCATCAATGAAGGACACCTGCATGCTTGGTATCTTATCCCTTTTCTCACGATTCATCAGGTCCTGTGAAAGGATTGAAAAAATGAGATGTAAACTTTATATAAGTTAACTGTTTATCCCCAAAACAGACAAATCTATGAGAAAAAAAAAAAAATATATATATATATATTTATATTTATATATATATATGTATATGTGTACACATACACATACATACATATATATATTGCTATATATAGCTATCTCTCACTCTCTCTATATCTTAGATATAGAGAGAATATATATAGAGCGAGGGAGAGAGAGATTACCACAAAATATGACAATTAGTTAAATTTATGTGTGTCCAACATCATTTTACAAACAAAATAACTGAGACAATTAAAGACACAGGTATTTATAGTCATGTAAAAAAGAAATTTGTCACATAAATGCACCGTCTGTGAAGAATGAGTACCCTCCCACTGCTTCAATAGGAATTAAAAAGGTAATTAAAAGAGTGAGTAGAGGCCAGGTGCTGCTTATCAAATGCAATTGATTAACTAATCATGACTGTAAATGCAAATGTTTGTTTATATAGTGTCAAATAACAATAACAGTGATCCCAGGGCACTTCATACTGTAGGACAAAGATCTTCCAATACAGACTGCATAAAGTCCTAAGAAAACATTCTTTTCACATGGCTGTAACATCAGCATAGTTCTTGAAAATGTGTTGTGATACTTCATGATTTGAAAGGGAATATATTTAAATGCAGTAGGATGAAATACCAGAGGATTCAGAACAGATTCCTGGGCACTCGATGGCAAATGTTGCACTGTTGAGAAGGATTTATCCAATATCATTCAAATGAACCCTGAAATTACTTACAATTGGTTCAATGTTCAGCTCTTGCCTCTCCTTATCCCCCTGCTCGAAAAACTCAGTGGCCACCAGCTCTGCTATCTGCATCAGAAACCAAATGCAGAAACATTGAAACATTTTATGAGCTTTTAGTTCTTAAAAGGCAAATTTTATAACACTAAATGTAAAACCAAAGATAGAAGCAAAGTAAGCTTTTACGATGGGGTGGCTGTAGCTCAGGAGTTAGAGCAGGGCATCTACTAATTGGAACGTTGGTGATTGGATCCCTAGCTGCTCTAGTCTGTGAGCCAAAGTATCCTTAGGCAAAATAGCGAATGCAAAGCTGCTCTCTGATATGTTCATTGGAGTCTAAATGTGTATGAATTAAATAGAAAGTAAAAAAAAAGTGCTTGTGTGAAGGGATGAATGACCGTTTTTGAATACTGTATTTATATAGCGCTTATATATTTTATATTTATATATATATATATATATATATATATATATATATATATATATATTTATATATATATATATATATATATACAGGTCTGTGAGAATCAATCCATTTATAATTTGCTCTGAAAGCATCAATTTTAAATCCTCATTTATTGTTGGACAGAAGACTAAGTTGGGTGAATTGTATACTATGCAAGTCATAGTGTCATTGCAACCTTGGAAACTTTGTGGCATAATTGTGGCAGTTTGAGTAATAAGAAAGAGGTCTCCTACATGGAAATAACAAAATGCTTATACTGCTGCTGGAGGCAGCATCGTTAGAACATTAATCTTGAGGAAATGACTGGGAATGACCCAGACAGACTGACAGCCTGTGTGACAGCTGGAAGGAAGAAGGAAAATGAAACAAGTGAATAGCAATAGCAAGAGCTCTCCCAAAAGCGCCACACAAAGTTAGTGTTCTCAAGTTTTTAACAAAGAGATAAAGAAGATCAATCAACATCACTCTGTGTGAACGTGTTGCTGAAGCCGTCTTCAGCTCTTGATTGAGTCGGTGGTGCTGCAAGGAACGTAAGTACTATGATGCAGTTGTTAATTGTTGAGACTAAGAAGCTTTGCCTTTACTTCCTCCATGATCTATGAAAATATTTTAGCAGTGCTTATGGAGGTTACTTTCATAAACTCATATCATTTCTTTAACCCTTTCATGCATGAATCACGACAACCTCAATCAGGATTATACTTTATTGTTAAAGTATTTTTATTTAGGCATGAAAAAAAGATTTTTGAAATAAATTTTTTTAAACAGGTACTTTTTAAATAGTTTTTTACTTGTCCACTTAGGTGAACAACGTCAATTTTGGAGTGTGTGGCAGAGTATGGAGTGACACATCAGTGTCCAATGTAGTGGTTTATGTGCAAATATACCATCAACACTGACACTTATTTAAGGTCTTCAAAATCAAAAGTGGAAACCAACCAGAATGTATTTCTTAAGTAAAAAACATGGCATGATATTAAAGAATGCTATATTTGTAAATCGTGGTGACTTTACTGCATTTTTTAAATACAACTTTTTCGTTATGATATTTTATGTTGTTAAGTCTCAGTGATAACCTTAAATGATTATAATGACTTTACCTGACTGAAAAAAGTATGACTGGAAGTTTCAGATTTAGAGCTAGTCTAAAAAACAAAAACAATATGGCAGATCAGCCTAAATGCTAGGAAAACACCATTAGAATCAGTCCAGAATCCAAAACCATTGGGTGACGTCACAGTGAATATGTTAATCTTTATATAAAGTCTATGGATGGAGGCTGTGAAAGTAAAACAGACCAGGGAAGGAGGGGTATGGGTTTAGCGCAATCTGTTAATGAGGAGCAGGTGATTTGCCAGAGTGTGTGTAAGCCAGGGAACGTATGTACTTGTTTGCTGCCCTGAATGTTTTTTTTTAGAGTTGTCATCTGAGGACAGGGCCCAGCTGTTTTTATTAACAAGCTCTCATTTATCAGCACTCTCATACACACACAGAATGTTTATCTGTATAACAATTCCTCTGGGCCTGAGTTTCCTAACAAGACACAGACTAATGAAGGTCACTGGGGGACAGCAGGGACACTACAGCATTGAATATAGTGCATGCTCACGTGCGTGTGTGTGTGTAGTAGGTCAGTGATTAAGAAAAAAAGAGAAAACAAGGAAGAGCTCTGAAAGGTATTTAGAGTAAGAAATTGTAGGATCAGATATGAATAACAAAGAATACATTTTAAGGCACGTTGCACCTCAGGTCACAGTCAGCAAGGCTCTATTCCAGGAAGCTTGTTATATAATAATATAATATAATATAATATAATATAATATAATATAATATATTTTTTTTATGGTGTCTGCTGTTATCATTTACCCAACTTGAATTTTCATAAGATGAAGCTGGAATTCTGTTTCTTTATGTTTGATTTGTTAAATGTAATGATTCAATTGAGACAAAATGCAGGTGACAGAAACTGAAGATAAAACCTGAAGATCCACCCTCGAATCAGCTTTTATGAGTCTGATTATTTTCTTGTTCCAATAATTAATCAGTAAAAACGTAAGAAATGTGTTCCTTCCATCCTTTGACAGAATTGTACTTACTGAATGAAAGTGCTCCATGAGATTTAGAGAAAAACTCTGCTTTAATGTTGCCCAGTTTAACCATTTATACTGATATAAAGCTTTCAGCTTCCAGGCCTGGATTTCTACATTTAAGATAAAACTTGAAACTTTTCTTTTTGATAAAGCTCATAGTTAAGTATGGATCAGGTGACCCTGAATCCTCAGTTAGTTACACTTCAATAGGTCTAGGTTGCTGGGAGTTTCTCGTGATGTACTTCCTGTTTCTTCTTTACTCACCTTTTTAGATTTCATTTCATTTAATCATTAGTTATTATTAATCTAATGAATGAATCAGGATGTCACACAGCCAGCTCAGAAGGGGAGGAGTCAGAGACAAAAACTTAGTTCAGACTCTGTTACCCCAGTAACTGACACAGAGTTGAAGTTAACTCTCTTTCCCTGAGTTTCTCTCATCTTCTGCAAAGCAGAAGTGTTAACTGTCTTGATACTAAGGAACTTAATTATTTTTGTATCATCAATTTAACTAAGATTTTAAATGACATTATACAAATTAACTAGCAGTTATAATCTATTTTTAAAATTTGGTTTGTTTGCTTCATTTTGAGTTTTTGATACATTTTTATATTTTTTAAATACATTTTAATATTTTACTCATTGCCATTTTCCCTTTATATGTAAAGTGAGTACAGTTTCAGCTGTTTTTTTTTTTATATCTCATAGAAACACTATGTAACTATAGAAAACAGAAATGAGGGGATGTGTGTGTATACCACAGTAAAAACATAAATACACAGAAAAGCAGCATACCAACATACAGACAGGTAAAGGTTGCGGGGTTTTCTGTTTGTTTGTTTTTTACCCTTTTTTGTACTGGCCAGGGCTTAGTGATGGCAGAGATGTCACATGCAGTCATCAGCATTGACCTGAAGGGGGTGACAAAGTTACAGACATTAAATTTCCACAGACACACTAGTTTCTCATAGCAGGAGAAACTCTGGACTTGTTACCATGGTATTGCAAGGTTTGAATATAAGGTTTGTATAGCAAAACCTAAAACTTTGGTCTTAACCCATATCTGGCAACCTATAATGCAAAGAATGCCTGCATTGATGGCTAAACCATTTTTCTTGAAGAAATGGTTTCAACACATAACTTTTACAACTATATGTTGATCAATAGAAGTGTTAATCATCACGCTGTCATGATGCTTTTTTACTTTTCAGACTTTGCACAGCAGGTGGCCTGTCCCTCACAAACATTTATCTTATGTTGATGTAAATGTTAACGCAGGCATCTGAGACTCTATACTCACCTCAGCAGGTCTCTGTGGTGTTCATCCTCCCAAACAAACTGGTTGTTCTTGGTCAGCTCAAAGAACTCCCCTCGCCTCCTGACAGCACACACCCACATGAACAATGTCACAGCAGGTAATTATCCTCATATATAACCCACTTAGCCCACAAACCACCCACTGTCTAGACTAAAAGTGGGCTAAGATAAGAGCTGAAGTCACTGAGGTAGTAGGAGGGAGTTAAGAAAAAACATGAATGCATTAAGATGTAGTAAAAAATTGTCACCCCTCTTTTCAGAAGACTGGGTATAACAACCAACACTGTGAAGACTGAAAAACTATAAATTTTCTGTGAAGCCACCCTTAAAATCCCACCAGTTCAAATGTACTTGGCAGGTAAATTGCTTGAGTACTTATACAGTCTGTATTTTATTTTCATTTTAACTTTTAGCTGCTCTGGGGCTGTAGACATACATGAGTTCTAAGCCAATTATATTACAAAGAAAGAAAATACCCCCTTTCCATCCACCCACCCACACCACCACACCCACACACAAATGCACACTCACCAGAAGAAAGACACAACTTTTAAACACTAACTTGTATCTAGACCTACAGAATTACTATAAGGAGTGAGTAGAACTTAAGTAATGAAGGCTTTAACAGTCACAAGGTGAGTGTAATCTCAATTGTACTCAATTTTGCACTGATTAAAAACCTTTAAAATACTGCTTTTCTTCTTCCGTTCTTTTCCTCTCATTCAGTCTCCATTGAGGCTTGATGTTTAGTACTTACTTCATGTACAGGGCGAGGTCGGTGGCCAGAATAGCCCTTTCAATCATCTTCAGAGTGGCCTTGTACTCGTCCAGAGAAAGGCCGCTCAGGATCTGGTTTCCCTGGAGAGAGAGGGACAGAGAGAAAACAGTGTAAGTGCAGGAAAAGCTCTGCATGCTATATCATGAGTTATACTCATACTGAGTTGCTGGATGGGAGTTTAATTTTCATGTCCTCGCAGTAAGGTAGCAACAGAGCTAACTGCAGGTTTCACTACTAAGGTTTTACTGTGGCAATTGCAATGATTGCACAAAAACTATAAACAGAGTGTTTATATGCAAATGTTGACACATCATTACATGTCCCTTCAATGCTGAGCACTGTTTAGTGATTACTTGCATTACGGCTTATCACACTACATATGATAAGGTGTCTGTATCCCTCCATCTGTGTTTATGTGTGCAGCAGCAGTGGCCTTAAGCGGTGTTTGTGAAGTTGGGAGTGTATTTAGAGTTTGCTTTGAGGCCATAGAAATCAGAGCAGGGTGTACTTCTCTGCATTTTATTGGACCATTTGAGAGATATGTGGTAGGCTAGCAGCTCAAAAATGACCGGAATAATACGCGTAATAAATAAAATGGGGATATTCAGCAGAAGAGGGCAATGGCATTAAAATAGCTATCCACTATCAAGCAACTGGGTCTAGAGTGTAAATCTTTTGTTAAAGGTCAGGGTAGGGTTAGCTGTCTGATTCTGTCTGATTCTCTGCGTAATTATTAAAATTAAATGATACTGTGTTCAATGCAATTTTCTGAGAAAAGACTGAAAGTAGTGAAGCTGCAGTTCTACAGCTAATAAATAGTTAGCCGCAGTAATACACAGTCCCATTTGTAATATTCTCAGGCAAGTTAGCACCTGCCGCACATTTGATTTCCAAAAAGATTTTTAAAATATTAAAAAACTGTAGTACTCTGTAGTACTGTGCAGTGATTCTCGCATAATAAACAAAGTTCATTGCAAGAACTTTAAAATGATTTTCCTCCCAACAGGTGCAGCAGTGAAATGGTAAATGTATATGTGTCTGAGCTTCACTGAATTACGCTATGAGCATGGGCAAAAGTTTGTGGAACATCTAGGTATCTCAATAAGGAAAGCTGTTGCTAAGGAGGTTGAGCAGGTCTTCCACCAATTAGAAGGTTGGTGGTTTGATCCATGGACTCTGTGTCATGGTCTCCGTGCCTGCCCGGCTGGCCCCACAAGGCTACATGTGCTGTTTTGGTCCTCTCTCTCTCCCTCTCTGCCTGGGCGGAGCTCACTGTGGGCTCCCGCCCTTGGCCCACACACCTGACAACAATCACCTGTCATCACCGGGAGCACTATTTGAGGCTGGAACACAGATCCTCTCGTCGCTGGATGATTGTACTACTGACGTTAGTGTTTCTCGCAGCTCCTGTAGACTTGTGCTTAGTAATTTGAGATTCGTGATTAGTTTGTGACTTCCCTTCTCTTCTGCTTCAGACCTTTCTCCCCGGACCTTTGACCTCCCTGCCGTGTGAACATGTGTGAGTGCGGGCAAGAAGACGTGAGCGAGTGTGAGAGAGCTACCCTGTGATTCCCTGGAGTTTTGGATTCCCTTCACTGTATATACTGTGCACTGGTGCTGTAAATAAACTGTTTTTTGGAGACGTCTAACCGCTCTGCGCCTGAATTCCTACAACCAGATTGTGACACTCTGCATGCCAAAGTATTCTTGAGCAAGATAAAGAACCCCATTTAAGATTTTGATTTGGTATCTATGTCTTCATCCCAGTGTCTGACTTAACCCTGAGCGAGGGGAGTTTACACTTTGAGATTTTTCAGGATATGGAGTTTGTTAGGATAATGCTATCTCCTATTGTTCTCTACACATTCAGGGTGAAACAGTCATGTAAAACTGAAATATATATTCAGTTCTCTGATAAGATAAATATACCTCAAGATTCAATAGCCTGTAAAACCACCTATAGCAATAAGTTAAAGATTATGACTTTATCTGTCTGTCACATAGTTGTGGAGGAATTTTCCCCCAGTCTTCTTTACAACATTGCCTCAGTTCATTGAGGTTTGTGGGTATTTGATTACATATACAGTAGGTTTCTTAAGGTGTCACCACAGCATTTCAATCAGGTTGAGGTCTCGATTTTGAGCCACTGCAACACCTTAATTCGTTTATTTCTAACCCTTTTGTTGTATATTTGCTGGTGTGCTGGGATCACTGTTCGCTTGCATGCCCGAGTTTTGCCCAGTCTTTAGCTGTCAGACAACTAGCGCCATATTTGACTCTAGAATAAAGCTGATTTAATGACTGCAAAGTTCAAATCATTACCCTTCCACCACTGTGCTAGGCAGTTGGTATGACATGTTTATGCTATATTTACCAAATGTGGCACTGTGCATTATTGTCAAACATCTCTACTTTGGGCTTATCGGTACATAACCTACAGGACAACCTAATGTAAAACTCCCAAGAAAGATAACTACGCATTGGATCAACGCAGCCCGAAACTATAGTGATTACACTATTCAGTTGATTCCTTCTGTCTATTTCTGGGTACTTTTTCACAATTTTTAAATTTATCAGTGAGAGAATAACAATCATTGCCTCAATATGAGAATACTAATCATAGCATCAATATAAGGACTCACAAATATCAGCAATTTATTTCAGAAACAAAGAGTGGGCACAAGGGTGGCAAAGGTCCCAGCATCTTATTTGTTTCTATGAGGCAGCACCGCATGTAAAACACTTGATAATTAACACATAATACACCACTCACAACCATAAATGCAATAGCGTCGGCCACTTACATAGCTTACATCGTAGGCTCTACAATGTTTCCAAGCAGAAATCTAAATCAGGCCTCACATGAAACACAGATCAAAATTCACAGGACTCACAAGAGTTGACTTTAGTCTTTGGCAGGAAGTCATAAAACCTGGCCAGGGTTTGTAGGTGGAGGGTGGGAAGCCAGTTAGAGATAATATCCTGTTTTTACACTAGGAACTTTCGCCAGTTAAGGAAATGAGCCTAAATGAATGTTTCCTTGTGCTAAATCTTTTCAGTGAAGACACACATTATGCTTATTGCATTACACATAAAAATGTATTACTTTATATGCTCAGTATTTTTATTGGATTATGGGCATGCTATTGCATTACCAGGAGGAAGTTATTAAATTATCAGTTTCTTCTGTGACTTTTTGGCAATTTTTTTCAGTGTTCCACAATAGAACATAAATGGGAGACTTTGGACATCCTGATCTTGTGGGACATAACACAGAACCTTGTAGATTATAAAGTTTGAAATTATTTCTGCTGGCAGGGAGCCATGTGGGAGCACCAGAGGGTGGAGATGGATTCTCTGGACTGAGTCTGCCAAGAGCTCAGCTGCTGCATAAAGAATGAGCTGCAGCTGTGAAAGGCCAGCTAAAGCCATGTTTTACATAACAGTATTGGGGTTAAAATCTGGGTGTGGAAAAAGATCTAGATTTGCTCCCTCTGTCTTCCTAGTATTGCTCTTGTATTAGTGATGCTAGCTACAGTCTGTATTTCCATCTATCAGTATGCAGTGCAGTTTAAAAGAGGAGGCACTCAGGTGTAGGCAGAATAGCTAGCGTTTAGTACCAAAGAACAAATTTGTAGGCTTCTTTTCTTAATGCTGGTTCTGCTGCCTGTGGGAGTTGATGAATGTCTGATTATCTAAATGGGCTATAAAACACAACAATACAGTAGAAGATGGTACACGTTAACAAGGGCTTTAGAAGTACAGGGAGTGCAGAATTATTAGGCAAGTTGTATTTTGCTGAGAGTTGAAAAACTGTCTAAAGTCTTTCATCTTTAATAAAATGATCAGCGTTCTGCTCTACCAGGTGTAACAATTGAGTTTAACATCCAGGCATCCATGAAAACGGAATTTATGACATTTAACGGAGTTAGAAGTTAGCAGGAAGTTAGCTCGCTAGCTTCTATCTAAATACAATATACCATGTCCTGACTGCGGGGTTTTGGAAACAAATTAAAACGTACAGCTCTGTTATCACTTCCAACATAAATGAAGACAGAAAACTAAACAGCAGTGACATTTGTAGGGTTACTGAAGTTGGGCTAGCTGGTATATAATGATGTGCTACGTGACCGCTAGCGACACAGCTATGTTAGCATAATATAAACAAGCTAACTTTTTTTCCACTCGATAAAAGTTAACGTGAGTGTCAGGAACAAATGTAATCGCATGGCAGGATGCTGTAAAAGGACCAAACTTCAGTCAGGAGAACAACTGAGATAATCCATCCACAATACGAGGTTAGTCATTCATATACTGCTGCATGGGCTGGGCTGTAGTTACATCCTAAGGTTTTAAAAACTGAGCTTAAATAAATGATTAGCGGTAATAAAAGCAGAGGGAGGTCAACAGTGATCACTGACTGTTTTAGGAGCTTTTTGAGATTAAATAGAAGAAAATACATAACATTAAACATGTTAACAACACAAAAGCCATATTAAACGCAGACTACTTTAGACCCGGAAGTAGGATTCGTCGCGTCATCACTTAACGACGGGATAACAGGACTGACTACTCGGCTGTCAGGTCTCCAGCTGTTTGTGTCCATGACCAAATATCCAAATGTCTACATTCCTGGCACCAAAAAATGTGTTTCTGGATTTTTTTCTTTTTCTTTCTATATATTTTACGTTTAGGACAGCACGGTGGCACCGTGGTTAGCACTGTTGCCGTACAGCAAGAAGGTCCTGAGTTCAATTCCACCATCAGGCCGGGGTCTTTCTGTGTGGAGTTTGCATGTTCTCCCCGTGTTTGCGTCGGTTCCTTCCGGGTACTCCGGCTTCCTCCCACCGTCCAAAGACATGCAGCTTGTGGGGATAGGTTAATCGGATAATCCAAATTGTCACTAGGTGTGAATGTGCGAATGAATGAGAGTGCGAATGGTTGTCTGTCCCTGTGTGTTGGCCCTGCGACAGACTGGCGACCTGTCCAGGGTGTACCCTGCCTCTCGCCCTATGACAGCTGGGATAGGCTCCAGCGCCCCCCGCGACCCTGAAAAGGATAAGCGGAAGCGAATGGATGGATGGATGGATTTTACGTTTATTTTGGGAAATTTTTAATTAGCATTTGTGGATGCAGTGTGAGAATTGTATTGTGAGGCAATGGTTGAACCACACCACATCTTTATTCCTGAAGGCCTTTCTGAAGGGATGTAAAAAGCCCACAATATAAGTTGTCTGCTGCTTATTAGACAAAGTAAGAAGCCATTCTGTACTAATGTTTTATGTAATTACACAGGTGGCAAGTAGAGGGATAGAGTAGAGAGAAGAATGATAGTCTGACTACATATGAGCGCGTGTGTGAGTGAGCAAGTGAGTGTGCTTACATGGCTGTTGAGGATCATGAGGCACTGATCGAAGTGGTGATGCTCCATGGTGGAGTGGCAGTAGAGCTGGGCCAGTGGGTGGTCACTCCTGGAGAAGAAGAAACCGAGGGTGAATAGTGTGCTCCCACGCATGCATATATGATCATGCACACACCTCTGTGACTCATGCTCTCTGATGTACCTCTGTATGTAGGAGTTATTGACTCCTCTGTGGTCCAGGTCGTGGCAGAGTGTTGCAATCATTAGAGCCAGCACCTCCAAATCACTCATATAGCTCTGTTAGGAGATGAATAAGTACATTAAGGCAAGGAAGGAAGGCGGGAAAAATGGCAGCAGGTTAACAGATGACATACTGCCTCCACAACCAAACCAAAAAATACAGTTGTGTACACAATGCTGTTATAATACACTTTTGGCAGTGTGTGTGCTCAGCATGCACCCTGGAGTGGACATCAAAGCTGGTTCTGCATATGACACAAAAGCTTTTATGCAGCCAGCTGCCAAATTTGCACACAAAAATCGCTAGTTTTTATAATGTGAATTATTCCCGAATCAAAAATTATTTGATATTGGTATTCTGGAGTCCTTGCCAAGGATTCTTAATTGGAATTTAGGCTCTTTTTAAGAGAGCTGGTTTTTATGTCTCACCTCACCTCAAAAAGAGCCAAAAACGCACAAATAACTGAAAAAAGGTGAATGAGGGGGTGTTAGCATTTTACTTCATTTTAAGTTTTAGACTTTTGTTTTGGACTTTGATTTCATATTAAGTTTGGTGAGGTTTGATTTGAATTTGTCAGGCAACGACTACCGGTACTTTTTACATTTTAGCACCAGAAGCACTTAATGCATGGTCAGAAAAAAGAATGGTTTGGGTTAAAAACAACCATTCACGGCTTTATTAACTATCTGAAACAGCAAAGTTCTTGCATCTGCTAAAATATTCTCTATCATTTTTCTTTACCTCAGTACAAGTTCTGTACAAGAGGACATTTGACTAGTGTCACATTGCATTACTACACATTAAAAATTTATTTTAAAAAGGTACACTTTGCTTTCAAATGTAGTAGCAAGTGGCTCTGACAAACTGTAACTATGTAAAATGTCAATAAAACATGTTGGATTACTTAGAAAAAAAGTGGTTGCCCTTTGCAGCAAGATTACTGTTACTGTGAGATGCCTTGGAAAATCCTCAGTATTGGGAATGAGAATGCTCTGGGATTCAATGACTATATTTTTTGACTGCACTTACCTGTAAGTGCCCTGACTTGAGGACAACAAACATGCACTGGGCTGTGTTGAAGGCATGTCTCCAGTTATGATAGGCCACATTCTTCCTGTAGTTCTTCTTAACACTCATAATCCACTGACATAAACTCTGCAGAAGAGAGCCAGTGTTATAAAAATGTTGCAAAGTAAAAGCATATACAAAATTTAATTTGGTTTTGTTCTTTGCATCGCCTGATTGTAGAGACAATCATTCTAAATTGACTGCTATTTGTATGCAGAATACTACCCTGCTTCTATCTGTCTGAAAGTAAGTTTCCTACAACAAGGGACACATTTCTAAGGGGTGAAAAAGGCTAAGGCCACAGCAACAGCAACCAGGGATAATGTTTAAATTTGTGTCCACTGAGATACAAACTGTGACACAGGTTAAAATAAAAAGGGTTGACATTTATGTCCATGTTATGTCAATAAGATCTTACTACAGTCAGTGTGGTTTTAATGTGCTGAGCACTTAGAAGATGTCTGACACAGACAGCCAAGCCATCATGTCTTTACGAACTAATACTAGTACAAACTAATTTAAGTTAAGAAAATAATAATGAATTATAAATTAAAGTTAAATTATTCTCTACAGAATTTATGCTAGAGGAACAATGTTTTTTCAAGAACACAACACGTACAAGATAAGATACGATAAGATAAGATAACTCTTTATTGTCATTGCACAGTCATACATAGTACAGTAGTATAATGAAATTGGAAAACTGTCCTACATCGGCACTACATATAAGACAACATGACACGATATGAAACATCACAACGCAACAAACAACACAACACAGTATATTAACTTAGTATAAAAAAGAAGAATAAGTGTATGTGTATCGCACACTGTTATTATTGCACCTTGTTATAAATATTAAATATTATTATTGTTATTACAATGGGACCAAAATGAAAATGAAAAACAAACTAAAGCAGTACATTGTAAGTGGGGTACAATTTTAGCAATTGAAAGTAAAGGCAAATGTGACAAGCACAGGGTCATTTTCTTTGCCATTTCCGAAAGTGAACACTTAGCAGGAACAAAGCAGAGAGCCCTGATCTGCTGGCAGGGTGCTAAGCTGCACGCTCGTCATGACCACACTGTGAATAAAACTAATTCCAATCTGAGGCACCACGAGAATCCAAATTATTATTCATCTAATCAAATCGGGGCTCATTTTCTCTATAGGAAAGATTATAATTTGATCTCAGACTTGAATGAGTGTCTGTATAACATGTTAGGATTGCAATCAAATCATGACTTGGTGTGCAGTTCAGCTTCCAGGGTGTGATGCTCTGGGATGGCCAGTTTGTCAGCTATTGGTGTGACAGTTAAACTGACAGCCTGCACTGCTGGAGGGCCATAACTTCCTCCAGTCAAAGTTTCTTTTTGTGAGGCCTCTCCCCGCAGGCACCCAGGGGTCAGCCACCAAGAGCACCTAAAGGTGGAGAGCCAATCCTGCCAATGATCTGCTGATGCTGGCGCCAATTAAAAGTCAGATGAGCAGAGAATTGGGTTTAACAGACAGCGATGACAGAGTCACCGACACAGTCTCGTGTCGGTGACTTTTGGAGGGGTATTGTTTTATGTGCATGATACTGTTGTGTGATACTGTTGTGTGATGATACTTCTTCAGCTGTAAATGCATTTATTTGTCCTCCGACACATTTGCTCATAATGTAATGGTTTAATGTTGCTGACAAAAAGGAGGTTGTTTTTTTTGCAACAGTTCATCATATACACTGAAGATATTGGTTGTTTCTGTGCTGCCCTTTTAAAGTCAAACCTTCTACTCTGAGTAAAATATCTGTTGTTGCACAATAAGAGCTACTTTAAGGCTAGTTCTCTTAAGATTATGAATGGTTTGGCTTGCAGTGCATGTACAGTAGCTGAGCCTTTAAAAAAAACCCAAAAAAACCCAAAACGCTTTAGCTCTATTTAAATCGTAGGTCAAGTTGAATGAGCACCAAGTCACCTCCTGTACAAGCTGTATGCCAGTATTGAGCAAGACTCACTGATCCACCTCAGATGGGGAATGCCTAGCTGAAGCCCTGGTCCACAAGAGCTTCAACTCTCACCTCTGTTAGAGCTTCGGCAACATTCTGAGGGAGACTGGGGACACTGAGTCCAAATGGAGCATGTTGAGCGCCTCCATTGCATGATGTTGTAGGGCTGTCTTGGTTAACATGCCTTTGCAATGTCTTGAGGAGATCTGGGGCGGTACCTCTGGATTGGCAGAGTAAGGTGGTGGTTTCCATGTTCAAGAAGGGGGACCAGAGGGTGTGCTCCAAATATAGGGGGATCACACTCCTCAGCCTGCTCAGGAAAGTCTATGCCAGGATGCTGGAAGGGAGAGTCCGTCAGTTAGTCAAACCTCGGATACAGGAGGAACAATGCGGTTTTCATCCCGGTCGTGGAACACTAGACCAACTCTGTTTTTATTCTGTTCCACGTCCTGTCACTCTCTGTCTTAAGCTGCCTGAGGCATTTTGTAGCAGCTCAACTCAGGGTGTCATCTTCCTGATTTATTTGTGCATGATCAGTGTTTCATCCTGAATTGTAGCTTGGACATCTTCCGTTGCTTGTTGCTTGAAGACTACCATGCACTGTGGGGAATTCTTGTGCGTTGACATAGTAATAACCTCCTTTTGGCAGCTTATTATTGCAGGGTATCTGATGACTGGTAGGATGTATGTACTGATGGCTCAGATTCTTATTCCGAACACTCAACTGGCTTCTCAGCACCTGTCTTACCTTATTTGGCTGTGGCTTAACTTAGTGCATATTCATCATGGTTCCTGTTGGCCTGTGGGATACCCAGGTAGTTGAAGCTGTCCTCTACATCTGCTATTCTCCCTTCTGAGAATTTCATCCCTTCAATCCGGATCCCCTTTCTTCTTTTTGCAAACATTTGGCTGGTGAGGTGAATCAGTAAGTCTTACTGGCATAGAGCTTGTACAGGAGGTAACTAGTGGTCACTCAGCTTGACCTAAATCAGTACTGAATCTATATCTGTATTCATTCTTAGTGATGAGCTGGCTTAGGTGGTTGAGGCCTATGCAGAAGAGCAGTGGGAACAGAGCATCACCTCTGAAACAAAGGCCTGAGTGGTATTTTTAAAGCAAGTTTGCAGTTCTCATGGATTTTAATGGAGCACATGTTAAGTCTAACCTGTTTGTGTAAAATCCCAGGTCAGTTCTTACCGTGTACTTCATCTGAAAGTTTTGGACCAGGTGGAGGTCAACAAACATCCGCACAGTAGCCAGTGTGGTTTCACTATCTGACAAGTCAAAGTCACTGAAGCTGAAGTCCAGAAGATGGAGCGACTGGGCTGATGGAATGGTTGCTAACTTCAAACACACACAGAATATATACATGCAAACAGCAGGAAAAACAACAGGCTTCAAATTCAGAAATTCTGCATTATATAGTTGAACTAAAGACCAATGATTAAATATTAATCAGATTCAAATCTCAATTCTTAATTCTGTTGCTGTTACAGAAGCAACTTTAATTTAAAATGCAGTTATGAGGTGTGCAATGTGCCAAATATACAGTATGTAGCTACCTCTTGAGTAGAGACTACCAAAATAATCAATTCTGTGTCCTAGTTACCAAGTGACACATCCTCTCTCTTGTGCCCAAGGGAGGACACTTAATCAGGCTACGCTATTAGTTCAGCCAGTTTGCTATAAGGAGAGAGGAAGAGAGCAGGATCCTTTCAGATGGTCAAGCAGTGCCACTGTTAGTGCTGGTGGGGAAGATGGGTTGCTCTAATTGGTTCATATTTTAAGAGGTACCTTGAAGTCAATGAGCCAGTTAGATGCTACAAATGAGCTACTCAAAATCACTTGGAATATCCTTTATTCTTTTTTTGGTTGATTTGTGGGGTTCATTCATACACGATTTGCTCAAAAATATTTAAATTAGACACAAAATACTAATAGTAGAAAGAATCATATTAATGATCCAATCCCAATGAAGAGAAGTATATATTATCACCAGATATATTACCACCAACATTATCAAATTAAGTGCTAATGTCCCCATAAACAAGACACATGGATTCAAAACTCCATCCGTCCATCAATTCATTCTCCTCCATGTGTTCCAGGGGGATACTGTGGCTAGGGATGGGTATCGAAACCCGGTTCTTGTTGAGAACCGGTTCCCACTGTCAATTCCTTGGAATTGTTTGCCATTTTTGCAAACGATTCCCTTATCGATTCCAGTCGTTGCGGAGCGTCATTTACCTGACAGGAAACACGGCGCCTAAGCTCAACGCTCAAAAGTTTGATTATACTTTACGAGAACGGATGACAACAGGGCAACTTGCAATACTTGCAAAGTAAATATTTCATTTAAGGGAGGAAACACTACGAATATGCAAAACCATTTGCTCACAAAACACGTGATAACCTTAAATGAATGTCGTGTTTTTAATTCCGCTCCGGACTCGTAAATCTCAACCCAGCAGCAGCGGTAACGTTTGCACGTCCTCTCCCGTTAATGTGGCAGATAAATAATCAACTAACAGTGCATATTATGTTAGTGAGATCTGCCTTATTACAAACCTGCCATTACTGTGCATTTAGGTGACCATGATGAGAGAGACAGACCGAGTCTGGCTGGCTCAGATGCTGGCAGTTCTCGCTGCAGTCTACCGGTAGCGTCTCCTTTCAGGCAGGATAGACGAATGTCACCGAGCAGTGACTAAGTTTGTGGTAAAAGGCTTTGCCACAGCAGATGCCCCCGATTTTCAGTAAGTGAATGTGTTTAATTGTAGGCAGGGACATTACTGGATATTCTTGTGTAATTGCTACAGAATAATTTATGCTATACTTTGTTATTGCTACAGAAGAATATTTATTTTATTATTTTACATTTACAATTTTTTTCCTGGGGACCCTGTGACACCCCATTAAAGAGCCGTAGGCTGTGGATCTCTTAAGATCTCACTGTTGGGTTTGTAAGGCCATGTTACTCCTAAATGTCTGTCTTGTTCAAAGAGAAGATATAAAACAAAGTTCTAAGCTAATCGACCTTAGTGTTCTCCTTTTTTAAAAATAAGAATCGATAAGAGAATCGATAAAGAATCGAATCGTTAAACAGAATCGAAAATGGAATCGGAATCGTGAAAATCTTATCAATACCCATCCCTAACTGTGGCATTACAAATCCCACTGATAGATAGATAATCTATCCAGCATATCCTTAGCATATCCAAAACATGTCACCTAAGAGGAATCCAGGATATGCCAGAACCATCAAAAGTGGCTGTTTTTGATGTGGAAGAGTAGCCACTCTACTTTAAGCCTCTCCCAAATGACTGAGTATCTCAGCTTATCTCTGAGATACTCAGTCATGGATGGCTGTAGCTCAGGTGGTAGAGCAGATCACCTACTAACTGGAAGGCTGGTGGTTTGATCCCCGTCTGCTTCAGTCTACATGCCAAATATCTTTGGGCCCATGTAGTTCCCATACTTTCTTACTGATTCAGCCAAAGATGTTATTTCTACACGAAGCCTTCTTTCTCTTAACAACATCACCTGCCTGTGTTTCTCTCTTTCCATGCTAAGTGTATAATGTTAAATTAATGCATTTCAATTTACTTCAGCTACCTGGAGTTCCCGTGATTCTTCATCTGCAGCAGAGGCATGATACGACAAGACCTGCAACACATGTATTTAAAAAAGATGAGTTTTGCAGAAAAAAAAGATATGATTATTGCACAAGTAATTATTTCACCAAATACAAATATGTCTGACTGACTGGACATTCTGCATGACCTTTCTTTTATTTAGCAGGCACAGTGCATGTTAATAGACATCAGTATAAAAGACAAGATGTAAACATGCCATGTTCAGAGACTTTTGGAAATTATAAAGAAAAAAAAGTGGGCTCTGATACTTGCAGGCTGTCAAAATGAAACGGACAGCTCAACAGGCTTTTGACAGGCTATAAAAAGAAAAGTGGCACTACTCATCAACCAGATGTCAGTCAAATCCAAAATAAAAAAGAATCCTTTATGAAGAGGAGTGCACTGTCAAACACAGCGACTAAATCTTGTGTTTACTATTTTTAGTTACCAACAGATGAAAATACAATCAGTGTTTTGTGCAGTGCTTGTCGGTCGGGTGGACCTTCTCCCTTCTGAGTGTAGGAAGCTCCTTCCAAGTCCAACAGCAGTTGGACCAGGGGATTTGTATAAAGCAATCGATCTAACAGATACTTCCTTTCAAGTGGCCATAGATCCAGACCGCAAACACTTGCTGATATGTGCATATGCATTCAACAGCATAATCCTACAAATTCCTGGTGCTGCTGCCTGGTGAAGTTATCTTATTGCTCCCTACATCTTTACGAAGATAGCATTAATTCCTCACTGAGAGAGGAGCACCTTAGCCTTTCTGCATGATAGGACTCATAGCAGCTTCAGTAAGTACGCCTTTCCCTGTTAAAGCTGTATCACTCTCTGCTGTGTGCATTTCCCCCAGTGTAAATGATACCACCAATTCAAAGGAGAGTGTGTCAGCGGAGCTGTTTTCTGATTCTAAAGGCTTGTCAGTGGCCATGATATGCAGAGATAATCAGTCTCTACAGGGACCTCCTCTCTCAGGTGGGAAGAGGGATGATCCACCCAGAACTGTGGTGGCTGTTTACCATTTGAGAGGTGAAATTTATAAGGGTCAGCCCCCAAGTGTGGGGGCAACGACAACTCATTTCTCTCCTTTAGGGGACAGAAATCATAGTCATAACATTTCATTTTGCTGTGTGTTTCTTGCACTTGATGCATGCATGTTGTCTTGTTAATTTTGGATCCATACACATTACAGCTCTTCTTTTTGTTGATACTGGATCTAGGACCCTAAAGAAGATCAGAGAACATCTTCTGATACGTGTCATTGTCTTGGGTCTTCGACCCAGTTTTTAAGGTTGTTCTGGACTCTTTATTCATTCTTTTAAATGTATTAATTGTTTATATTCAAATTTTGTATTAGGTTTGAGTTCTGTATTTCACTAGTGTTGCAAGTTTGTTATTTTAAACTCTTGGTTCTTGTTTTATCTTTCTTCCCATTCGTTTCCAATCTATCTCTGTCTCATCTCAGTATCCTGTCATCAGTGTCCCTGTGTTTGTTTACTTCCTTTCTCCCCAGTCATGTCCCTGTTTCTACCTGGTCTCTCTGTGTTCTGTCTCTGTGAATACCTTTGTAGTCCTGGCCCTGTGTTTTCTCCCTTCCTGTTCCCATGTTCATCTCTTTGTGTTTCGTCCCTTTGTCTCCCCAGTTTGTAAACGTCTCTGTGTATGTTCCCAGTCCCAGTGTCAACGTCACGTCTTAGTCTTGAGTGTCTGTGTGTGTGTGTCTGTGTCAGTGTTACTTCCTGTTTTCTTTTGAGTCTCGTGTCTTGTCATGTTCTGTTTTGCTTCCCCTGTCTTGTTAGTTATGATTCTTTTAAGCTGTGTTCTCCAGGTGTGTCCGCTTTCCTTAATCACCCTCCGTGTGTATATTGTTTGCATCTCCCTCTGTTCATCATCACATTCTCCCTCATTGTGTGTGTGAATTCAGTTTGTTTGTCAATTCAGCTTGTTGTTGGTCTGTAGTCAGTCAGCTAGATCCTTCCATGCTCTGTTATAGTTTAGCTTTTTTCCCCATTGCCTTTTGTGCCAGCAATAAAGCTGTGGTTTCTAGTTTTATCTGCCGCTCGCTACATGACAATACAGGTGAATTTCTCAGAGCTCATCTGCTTTTAATTAGACATGTTTTTTTGTAATATTTCAGTATCATGTGGCTTTAATTGGAGCAAATTCATTGACTGCTGTTTTATTACAGAAGCCATGTAGATGTGTTGTTCCTTCTTTTGCCCGTAAACATAACATGCACTGGCTGTCACTGTTATAACTGATACAAATTTACAAATAAAGATCTTTCACTGTAGCTTCTTAGCTCAGAATGGAAGTGCATTTTTATGAAAATGTCATTGTCTCACATATATTATCACATATTCACATATGTGAAAACACAATGGCATTCTCCTAAAAATAAGAAGAGCTCCTTTGTTTTGTTCAAGCTTAAAAACATAAAATAGTGTGATTAATGGCTCAGTGAGAACATGATGAAGGACATGGAACAGGGTTATCCATTTTGTTCCTACTCATGCCCTGCAGCAAACATTGCAAAACTTATTATTTCTCCCTGCCTGTAATCCAGTGGCTGCCTTTCATATGCTTTCAGAACTGTCCACATAAATGTGTTGTTGTGTCATCAAAGCCTCCCCACTGTGACAGTGATCTCCTTTAGAATCAAAAGTGTGTCTGATGTCACGTGATTGCTGACACTGGAACTTGGACAAAAATGTTTGTTCTAGTAGAAGTGCTCATTGATCCTCTCTATGTGGAAGAGATATTAAATATTAAATCATGTCTTTGAAGTCCAGAAAACATGCTGTGATTGCTTGTGTTTTAGGACAGAGCCGACAGTTAAATGTCACAAAAGATTAATCTGCTCACCTCCTCATCAACACAGCTCACTGCTGTGCCATCTACAGCAACTGACTGGCGTCCTGACTCAGAGTCCAAATGACCAGTGTTCATTTTGGATTTGTGGACAATTTTGACTAATTTGAAATGATTTCATCTCCTGTTTGTTGCATTTAAAATGTAATATTTTTCAACATTTTAAGGCTACAGCTGTCTAATACTTGTGTGGTTTTAACTCATGTTTACAGTTCAAAGTTCACTGGTAACTAACTGTCATCACCAGCCAACCAGCTGCTGAGTCAAATACCAACATCTGAAAAATGATCCACATTACATCGTGTGATTTTGGACATAAAGAAGAAGATCTGATTGCAGTCTTTAGATGCAGAACAAATTAAGATAATTCTAGTGCTCCAAAAAAAGTGGAATGTAAGAGATTTCAGATGCAGTTTCTGTGATTCTGCAGTGAACTAAGGGGCTGACAGCCATCGATAAATGCAGTTCACCAAAATTAACATCAGCTTAGATACTTGTGTCTCCAACAGAGAGATGAGAAGATACCTCAGGGTTTCACTTCACTAAAAAAATGAAGGGAAATCTCAGAACACTATACAATAGTTATATATAGGTAATGGTTGTCATCCCTTTTGATAGCAAGATGAAATTCAGTTTTTCAAACAAATTGTGTAATGTAGTGTGAAAGACTTTTTTCCCCCTGAAAAGTATTCATGTGAATTAAAGTTCTACAAAGATTCATTTTAGTGAAAATGGGGCTTAAAATTCCTTTTTTTCGTTCCTTTATTTTTTTGTAACGTCCTTTCAAACCACTAGTTGAAACAATGGCCTTGCAAATGCAAATGCGAGGCTGCTAACAATAAGAAAATCTACAATATCCTCCTAAGAGTTGGAAAGGAGGAGAAACAGACTTGTACAATATGTGTGTTTATGCTAGGGCTGCCACGATGAGTCGACTAGTCAAAATCGTCGATGACTAATTCAATAGTCGGCGCGTGGTTTGAAGCTTTCTAAGATCCCAAAAGACGCAGGAATAAGTAGAAGGATTTAAGAGTGTAATAACGGACTGAAACAGAAGATGGCAACACTGCATGTACAAGGATGCCAGCTGCCGTTAAACCCCGAAGAAGAAGAAGCAGTGTCCGGTATCGTAGCTGTGTCCAAATTAAGGAACCGCATCCTCCTGTGCCCGCATTAGTAGGGCGTTTATGTTACAGCGACACGACGAAGACTGTCCACATTCGAAGACTCCGACAAATGCGGCCGACAAATGCGCCCTTCATTTCCCCAGATCTGAAGGATGGGTCGGGTATATACTTCGTGGCCCATCCTTCATAGCGCAGTCCTGCTCAGTTTCCAACAATGGCGGCAGCTCGTTAGTTTTAATATTACTCTTATTATTCTTTCAGGCAAGAATGTAGCTGTGTAAACTTCAAATATCTGCTCAGTTTATCAAGACACCACATATTTTCAAAAGCGCTCCAACGTTTTCGGAGACGTCTGTTACCCACCAGCTTGATGCTAGCTGGGGTTCAAGGCTCACTAGAGCCGGTGAGAACACCGGACTCCCGGGAAATCGTTTTCAAACCCACCGCCGTTTTTCGCTACTCAGGTTAAACATGATATATAATACACTTAGATAACTTAGAAATGTTATTGTTTGGCTTTTTTCAGTAATTTATTTGCTCCTGAGTAAATCGGTTTGGCTGAGATTAAAGTTATTACATTAAGTTTTCACACAGCTGAATAAACGTCAAGCAGACAACTGATTATCAGAAGTGTGAGATGCTCGAGAATATACTCCGGTGTCCTGTTATATGTTAGATAGCAAGGAGCATACGGCTGAGTTTATTAAACTCCACTGAAACAATCTGCAAATTTCATTAAAATTTAATAAATTATCATCTTGTCTTTATTTTTAGTTAGCACATACCTTAAACACTTAAAGCTGTAAGCTAATAATAGTTATATAAGAGCAGATGCTGCTGGTGCAATAAGCTGTACATTTTACGTCCAATGGATGCATGATCTGATTAGCCAACTAATCACAAAAATAATCCGTGACTAGTCAACTATCAAAACAATCGTTTGTAGCAGCCCTAGTTTATGCTTGACTCACCTCCAGCGTGACCTCTTGCTTGGCCATAGCTCTCTCTACGGTTTCATACATCTGTGTGTTTTGGATGCCGAGACCACAGAAAATGGCAAACGCCTCCAGGAACTGGTCATCATTTCTGTTGAATGCCTTGACGCTGCCTGACACTTCATCTATTTTGTTCACCAACTGACAAACACCTACATGCAAACACAAACACATTACTGTTTATATTTGGTAATGTCTAGTATAGAACACTTCACTTTAAATAGGCCTTAATATAAAGGTTAGTTCAGCAAACATTCAGGTAAGATTATGAGCTTTAGAATAACAACAATTTTATCTTGTCATTGGATCAGTTCATTCTTCCAGAATTGGAGTCAATGAACAACGTCCAACAAAATCTGTAAATACCTAACATCTGACTCAGGGTCATGAGTTTGCCCATAGTTATCCCATCTCATGATGGTTTGTACCAACTAACAAACAACTAGCTAATAATTTAGGTAAGAACGATCTTGAGAAAAACTTGCTGAGAAAAAACCCCTCTCTGATCAGAATTTCTTAGGGATTGCTTCCATATTAATGCAGGATCTGTACTGTCCAAATCTTATTATCATTCTGTGTTATGTAATTAATAAAAAACAAACAAGCATGTTTTAAAATGGAAACCATAGTACCAGGAGAATGTCCCTGCAAGCACAAAACACAAGCACTTCTACAATGCTACCAGTTAGTCAGTTATTTCAAAGCTTTCAATTTAACTTTATGCTTTCATTTGTTTTGAGTAGGATAATGGTCAAAGTCTACACTAATTGTAAGGCCATTAGTATTCTCCTTGCATGCATGCAACTGACTCAGGGTGCAACTCATAAAATCTAAGGTTAGCTAATGCTATAGCTTCACAAAACAGAAATAATTTATATTACTTTTAAAGAAAAACAAAACTAAGGTATTAATTGAAGACAGTGATAAGCCACTTTGTCTACAGTACATGCTGTAATGCAAAAATCTTTTCCTGATTACATTATCAAAAAAATATATACAATTATTATTCCCTTTTATGTATCTGGACATAGAACACAATATTACTTTCTAACTGCTAATGCTTTCAATGCTAACATTGTATTCGGGCAACAAAGCAAAGCCTACCAATGACTTTGTCCTTCTTGCCATTCCTGATGGGAGTGCAGAGCAAACTCTTTATCTGATTGCTGGAGTGAGCTGGGTTTTCACTCTGTGAGAAAAAGATGGATAATTACTCACTTTTGGAAAAGGAAAAAAAGAGAGAAAAAAGAAAAGAAAAGAGTACAGACCGTCCAAGGAAAGCGCTGGTCCTTGGTGACATCGGCAATGTTCAGAGGCTGCATGGTGTTTTTAACATACTGGGCGTACATATAGTTAATCTGGCTGTTATCGTGGCCCCTGAGAAGAAACACACAAAGAGAAAGAGCTTCACAACTAAGCATTTAGTATCAAGCTCACTTGGAATAATCCATTGAACCCTTGTGGACACTATGATACCATAGAAGGGCTATCCTCAAAACCAAACATAAAACACAAAAGAGAAAAGGCATAATATTCCCCCAAAATGAAGACATTTTCCAAGAAGCGGAAATAAATACAAACATTGTGCAACAACTGTATAAAATGTTAAAACATTTGCATTTCAAGGGTTTAAGACTAAAAAAGAGCTGAAACATTATGGTCCCAGTCATGATAATTCCATCATGACTGGGACCATCTCTGCCATGTGACTGTTAATTTGACTGGCTTTGCAGCCTGTGTTTTGTCGCTGACTGCAATGCACTGACCATATTAGCTCCCAGTTGGAGCTGGATTCGTCTAAAAGGCTCTGTTTAAATGTACAGCTACCAACAACCTGACTAATGTTGTTGGTTTCAAGTGCTCCAAATGAAATGTAAAACAGATGTTAAAAAAATACATTTGGGGGGTGGAGTGGGATTTATTACCCTGCCAGGTTTGCCACCACCCTGCTGGCAGCCTGTTGGGCAGATGGTGAAACTGGTGTTTGTCAGGAAATATTTACACCATTTAACTGCACTTAAAACCAAAAACTGAAAGTTCTACATTACTGTTTGTGAAAAGGTAAATAAACAAGATGTGGGCGGTTAAGTAAATGTGCCTGACGACCATTTTTAAAAAAGCATTTCTTTTAACAGACACAGCTTTGTCCAAAAACTGCTATGGTAGAACGGTTTATCACATAGGCCCACATATCACTGAAAGCAGAAGACACATTTTTCGGTCACTCTTATAATTTCTTATACATTTACCAGCAACTTTGTTAGGTATATCCAGTTCATCTACTTATTAACACAAATGCGTAATAAGCCAATCAACTCAATGAATTGAGGGACGCTGATATCAAAAGATCTCCCAAGCAACAGATTGGAAAAAGAAGGGGACTTGAGTGATTTTGAATGTGGCATGGTTGTTCTAACCAGAGTTTTTCAGAAACCACTGACCTACTGGGATTTTCCCACACAACTATCCAAGTTATACAGAGAATGATCAAAAAAATAGAAAATATCCAGTAAGAAGCAATTGTCCGGGAGAAAATGCCTTATTGATGCCAGAGGTCAGAGGAGAATACCCAGATGACTTTGAGTTTATAGGAAAGCAAAACACATTCAAGATATGCAGAAGAGCATCTCACCAAAATTATGCAACAGAGGATAGGAAAGACATTCTCTGGGTTGATGAGTCTCTGTTGCAATAGGGAGGGTCAGAATTTGGGATAAACAACATAAAATGGATTCTGCCTTGTATCAATTTTAATATTTCTGGCAGAGAAATAACAGTTATTAGTTCTAGTATGCAGTTTCTATCATACTTTGCTACTGGTTATGGGGTGGCAACATTTATTATGTGGTGGTCATGGCATAATATGCATGCATAATGTGTATTAAGTATTTTTGCTTCCTCAATTAATAGTTTTTTTTTTTTCTTAAAATGCGCAACCTTTTCTATTAATTCTACTAGGGGGGACTTTGTGGTGCTGTATCAGTACTTTGACTTTTAGAAGTAACAGCAGCCCTGAGTATTTTCAACAGCCAAAATTAGCAACAAGCAGTTAAGTAGTATGTATAGTATCAACTTTGACATAGTAGTGGCACACTACTATGTATTTATACATAGTACTACTTTATATTTCAAGATCATGATAATCTTCCAATTTAGAACTACAAGTTAAATAAAAAATAAATAAATAAAAAGAACTAACACAAATAAAATACACTTCAGCTAAATACTTTTACAATTTATTTTCTCAAACCAAGGAGCCGCAGTCTAAAGACTAAAGAGCTGCAGGTTGCCGACCCCTGCTCTAGGCTAACAGCACTGAATAATAAAATAGCTGCTGGCTAATAAAAACTAGGGGAGCTAGAGAGCCGCACCTGAGTTCAGTGTGCCCTGGCTCAGACCTGGGAGCTAAAGCCATCAGTCATGTCTGTCACCACTTAATAACCCTGTTTGTTATCTTTTGTCTCTCCAAGTTTAACCACAGAGTCCAGCTATAATACTGCATGAGAAATGATGGAAAAAGGATATATAAACATGGCACAAGCTTAAAGTCAGCTAAAGTTAAAGCCAATGGATTTTGGCTGTAGTGCTGTGGTGTAAGTGGTGTGTGAGTAAGACTGGGAGGGAATATGAGCATGTGTTAGCAAATGACAGAAAGGACCCCATGATGAGAGACACAAACTGTTAAGCATGTTTTGATGAAATCTAGCAATTATATTATGAAAATGATCAAGGATGGACCTTACAGATTTTTCCTTATAGTCAACAGTGAACGTGGATCACTGGAAAGTCTTTATTTAAGTTTCTGCACCATACTGGACAGTATATAAACATTTAATGTGCTCTTTCATTTATGTTTTTTCTTCATTTTAGCTACTTTCTACATTGTAGATATGTACTACAGACATCTAATATATGCGGAAAGATATATGGAATTATGTAGCAAAGAAGAAATTGATAAATAACTCTGAATATAATAATGGATTGCATTTATATAGCGCTTTTCGAGACCCTCAAAGCGCTTTACAATTCCACTACTCATTCACTCTCACATTCACACACTGGTGGAGGCAGCTACAGTTGTAGCCACAGCCACCCTGGGGCAGACTGACAGAAGCGAGGCTGCCATATTGCACCATCAGCCCTTCTGCCCAACACCAGTAGGCGGTAGGTGAAGTGTCTTGCCCAAAGACACAACGACCGAGACTATCCAAGCCGGGGCTCGAACCGGCAACCTTCCGGTTACAAGACGAACTGACAACTCTTGAGCCACGATCGCCCCTAAATATGTTTTTTTTCCTTAGTTGACAGCACTACAAACCCTCGGCCCTCTTTCAATGAGCTTCATGACATAGTCAGCTGAAACGGTTTTCACTTCACAGGTGTGCCTTGTCAGGACTCATTTGTGGAATTTTTTGCCTTCTTAATGGGAAGATGGGAACAGTCAGTCAGTCCGGAAAGTTGCTAAACTTGAATGTGTCCCCAAGTGCAGTTGCAAAAACCATCAAGCACTACAACCAAACTGGCTCACACGAGGACCACCAAACGAAAGGAAGACCAAGAGTCACCTCTGCTGCTGAGAAGTTCATCTCAGTCACCAGCCTCAGAAATCACCAGCATCTGAGATTAGAGCCCAGATAAATGCCACACAGAGTTCCAGCAGCAGTTACATCTCTAAATCAACTGTTCAGAGGAGACTGCGCAAAGTAGACCTTCCGTGAAGACCGAGTGTGAATGCATCATGGACGAGAACGGTCTTGGATGATGGAAGCTCTTGTCCTAGGCTAGTATCTCAGAGTGCTCTATCTAAAGCAGGGGTCGGCAACCTGTGGCACGCGAAGGGTTAACTGATGGCACGGCCATAGCTGGACTGGCCATCAGGCATACCAGGCTGCTTGCTCGGTGGGCCGATGATTTTTTTATTTATTTTTTTGTAACGGTATAAACAATGAAAGGTGGTGGATTGGCCAGATGCCGGTCGGTGTGTAAAAACAACTCAGTTGTTTGGTGGTGGCTATGGCGTAGCTTCCACAGATTCAGTAACATTAGCAAGTGGTGGAGGCCAGCGGGTGGATGAGAGAAAGGGGAGGCAAGAGGAGAGACTCGAGGCAGCCGCCGCTCCGAGTGTCGGGCGAACTGAACTTCAGGTGAGAAGTTATGACCTGCAGTCTATCTGGGTCAGATATAAACCAAGTTTAGGTGGAGTTTATGGCTTTAATACCTGGTAGGCCGGTCTCTAGTCAAAATGCCCGGTAATGCCAGTTAATGCAACATCAAAGCAGCTGGAATCCATATATGTGCGTGTTCATGGAGCTTGCATTTTCACCAGCTGGAAATCACTACCTGACAAGTTTAACTGTCCAAATACTGTCTTATTGACAGTATTTGGTTCTACATATCTGTGTGAGCAGATTTTCTCTCACATGAGTGTCCTCAGGTAGCCGTCTGAATGCTGGATGCTCGGAGTCCTGTGTCTCTGAGTGGGAGACCAGAGATCACATTAACATGTGTATCCCTCTATTAACAAACATGCCATATTGGCCCAGTTTAGTTTTCTTATCATTGTTGTGAGGAGACCATAAATAGCATTTGCATTTTCTATTGTACAGTTCATTTGCTTTATGGAGTTCTTGTTATGGATAAAAAGTGTCTTTTTTTTGTTTCAAAATAGCTGATAACGATTTGGGTCAAGGAGTATTTCAGTAATTCATTTTCTTAGACTAGATCTAGCAAACTTATCTACTTCACACAAGGGAAACATAACCCAGCCAAAGGAAACAGCAGAAGTAGTCTATTATAATGGGTGTAGATAGGTCATATCAGTTTGTCCAGTTAAGATATACAGAGCTTCTGGTTTTGTGTTATGTGCCAAGACCAGAGCATTTAGCATCAGTTGATGATCAGACAAGACTATCTGTCATAACTGTACAGGTAAACCTTTTACAGACCTGGTAGACCTTCTCCTGTTTGTCTATTGTAAGTTTCCTCAGGTTTCTACAGGTTTTTCACCTTTTGTGTTTCTGTTTGCCCATCAGGTCAGAGGTTTACTAGAGGGAGACTTGGGAGGAAATGGATCAGGTTAAGGACAGAAATATAATCTCTTACGTCCTTAAAATGAGAAACTCAAAATAAATAAATAAAAATTGTATACTTTCTTGATCCCTGTGGGGAAATTCCTCTCTGCATTTAACCCATTCACTCAGTAAAGCAGTGAGAAGCCACCGAATCTAGCGCCTGAGGAGCAGCGTGTAGGTACTTTGCTCAGGGGTACCTCAGAGTAGCTGTTTAGGAGATTTGAAACCCCGATGTTCCGATCATGGGACCACCACTCTCCTTACCGAGCTATTCCTGCCTCAACTGAGCTATCCCTGCCAAA